AGGCCTGAATCCTGATTGAAAGGAGTCCAGATAATCTGTTTTATTCAGGACCCTCTGAAGCTGCCAGGCAACCATCTTTTTCGCCACTTTCCCTAAAAAGGGAAGATTGGAAAGAGAGTGAACATTGTCCTAGCAGGTGGGTTCAAGTGATGGCTTTTTAAGGAGGGGGTGAGCCAGGACCTCTGCCTGAATCCACCTGCCAGTCACTGACTTGGAGGCTTTCACCATCCAAGAGGGACAAGGATCTAACTGACAGGTAGTGGTGGTGATAGCACCAAGGACGTTATCAGCTTTGTCAGGTTCAACAGCGTAAAACCGTTCCCAGATAACCAGGAAATACTACTCCTCAGGAGTCATGCATGACTGGAACTTGGTCCACACATGGGAATGAATCTGAGTGACTTTGTCTACCTGGGGTTGAACAAATTCTTCTGCACAGCCCTGAAGATGATCACCTGACACATACACCCCACTGTCCCAGGAGGGACCAGATGATCTGGAACAGGGCTACCGGGTGACACTCTGAGGACAAAATAAGCGAGGAGAAATAAAGCTGTTACCCACTCTTACCACCACGAGGTAGACCTTAATAGCAGCTCTGTGTTGTATCTGGTTAGAATCATCCTTTACTGATTCCTAGAAGGACATAGTTTTGTTAGGGGAACTTCTCCTTCTCACCCCACCCAGAAATTGGTTCTACATGCCAGCTTGGCTGTACATTCCCATCAAAATGGTGGATGAGAGATAATTTTTGTAGTCCAACTTTAAAGACAGCAAGACTCCCCAAAAAACTGCTAATCAGCTGTTGAAGTTGGAAAGTGTAAAGAGTAAGGTAAATGATGGCGATATACATATGCATATTGGTGTGAAATAATGTTAAGCTTTTTCTTTTCATCTTGAGTTTTGATAATTGGCATAGAGTTGTGATGTTCAGGGATATAATGTACACTTGTGTTAGCTTTTATGCAACATTATCAGTACCCGAGGAAACTCCAAAAACATTGATTTGGTGTAGACACAGGATAGACAAAACCAAGCCCTTACAATGTAAAATTTTATTTATTTTTCCATCCAGATAGGACTGATTACTGGCAGCACATTCGAAATCACTCTTCAATTTCAGACAAATCACATCCAATGCTATCAGTTGAAGCCAATGATGTCATTGAGAAGGTCTCCCGTTGAAAGGGAACACTAACGGTTGCATCTGTCAAAGCCACAACAAATGGCACTAACTCCTGACCCTGGAAATGCATTCAGAGTTTGACACTCATACAGAGTGCCACACCTCTTGCCATACCTTGGTGGCATGGATCCTACAGGGAAAAAAAAGACCTTGTGGTTGCTTATGGAAAAAATAAATCTAATTTTTCACTTCACCCACATTGTTCTTTATTAATGATGGAAGCTCCTAGATAGATTACCCTTTCTTATAAATATAAATTTTTATTATTTTTTTAACATAAAAAACACAACAACAAAACATAAAAGTATCAGCTCCCCCATATTTTTGTACACACCGTAAGTCGGTTGGTCCATCGGTTTTGTGCATTCACCTCATAGTCACAATTACAGTTACTTTATATAATACTCTTATCAATACAAATTTATAAATCCTAATATCTCTATTAAAGAAAAAAAAAAAAAAATTTGACTAAACTTTTATTCGGTCATGCCTTTATGAGATAACTATATTTTAAATATTTTATTCTAAAACAAATCTTATAATCATACCAATTCTATCCCAAATATGAAAAAGAAAGAAACAAAGAAAACTATTATATAAATATAGTATCAAAAACCAATAAAAAGAAAGGGAAAATAAAGTCATTATTATTCCTTATTATCTAACTTTTATATTTTAATATTTCATCATTCAACCATTGATAGAAAAGATCCCAAACTAAATAAAATTGTTTATCTTCTTGCTCTCTAATTTCAAAAGTCAATCTACTCATCTCAGCACATTCCAAAATTTTCTTTACAACTTCTTCTTGCAATGGAATTTTCTCATTTTTCCAATTTTTTGCAAATACAATCCTAGCAGCAGTCAATACATTTACAATCAAATATTTCAACTCTTTACTATAAGTATCTGGTAGTATTCCCAATAAAAAAAACTCCGGTTTCAAGTCTATATGCTTCTTTGTCATTTTTTCCAGCCACATGTGGATTTTAGTCCAATATTTTCTAGCATCCTCACAAGTCCACCACATGTGATAGTATGAACCAGGTTTCTGATGACATTTCCAACATTTTTCGGATTTGTTCTTAAACATTCTTGCTATCCTTGTCGGGGGAAAATGCCACCTGTAAAACATCTTATACAAGTTTTCTTTATAGGCTGTAGACATTGTCATTTTATAGTTTTGCGACCATAATTTCTGCCATTTCTCTAAATCAATCCCATATCCAAAATTCCTCCCCCACGCAATCATAGTTTCTTTAACTTGTTCTTCCTCAAGCTTAATTTGCAATAAATAACCATACAATTTTTTAATCACCTTTTCATCAGTACCCATCAAAATCTTATCCAAGTCAGTTTGCTTATCATAAAATCCCTCTGCTTTGGAATCCTCATAGTACTTTGAATATATTTGCAAATATGAAAACCAATTCATCCGTATACCTTGTTCTTCCAATTTTTGCATCGATTTAAGTTCACCCTTTTCATCTAATAATTCCCCATAGTTAACTGTTTGTTCCTTTTTATAGATTATAGGATAAGAAAACGCTTCTATCGTCGATAACCAAACTGGAATTTTCAAATAACACTGTTTTTTTATCTTCTCCCAATTCAACCACAGAGACTCCCGTATATAATGCCTTCTAAAATACCCCTGTGTTTTAGTTCCCTTGTACCATAAAAAGCATGCCAGCCCAACAACAAATCATGACCTTCTAATGTCAACAATCTGGTTTTCCTTAATGTTATCCATTCTTTAACCCACGTCAAGTTTGCAGCTTGGTAGTACAACTCCCAATTAGGCAGTCCAAACCCTCCTCTAAATCTAGCATCCTGTAAAAGCTTTAACTTTATTCTTGCTTTCTTACCTTGCCATATATACTTCAAAACAATTTTATTTAAATCCTCAAAATATTCTTTTCCAAGCCTAATTGGTATTGTTTGAAACAAAAATAAGACTCTGGGTAAAATGTTCATCTTAATTGTTGAAATCCTTCCTATTAATGACAATTGTAAGTTCTCCCATTTTTTCAAGTCTTGAGCTATCTGTTGTTTAAGTTTAATATAATTATTCTCCTTCAATGTACTACATCTTGATGTCAAATATATCCCCAGATACTTAACCTTGTTTGTAACTTGAATTTTTAACAGTTCTGCCAACTCTTCCCTTTGTTTCAGCAACATATTCTTTGACAAAATCTTTGTTTTATCTCTATTTATTTTCAAACCAGCCACCTCCCCATAGACCTCTATCTTTTCCAACAGTTTCGAGGCTGTTTCTATAGGATCTTCCAAGATAAAGACTAGGTCATCTGCAAAGGCTTGTAGTTTAAATTCTTCCTTTTTAATTTTCATTCCTTTTATAGTTTTATCTTCTCTGATATTTCTATTCAACACTTCCAAAGTCAATACAAATATCAAGGGAGAAAGAGGACAACCTTGTCTTGTGCCTTTTCTTATATTAATAGGATCTGTAAATTCTCCCTCCATCATTACCTTAGCTGTTTGTTCATTATAAATTGCTTCTATTGCCTGAATAAATCTTCTAGCAAAGCCCATCTGTTCCATTAAAAGTAACATAAATCTCCAATTCACGTTATCAAATGCCTTTTGAGCATCTAAAAATATCAAAGCCATTTGTTTTTCAGGATGTGCCTCATAGTATTCCAGGGTGTCCAGAATTACTCTCATATTGTCTCTGATTTGTCGCTTTGGCAAAAACCCATTTTGGTCTGGGTGGATAAAGTTATTCAAGTACTTTTTAAGTCTTTCTGCTAATATTGAAGCAAAAATTTTATAATCTGCATTTAGTAAAGAAATCGGTCTATAATTCTTGATTTGCAGTAGGTCCGCCTCCTCTTTTGGAATAAGTGTAATGTAAGCCTCTGACCATGTTTTAGGTATCATCTTTTTTAACATAACTTCATTCATAACTTCTAACAGTGAAATACACAGTGATTCTTGAAAGATTTTATAAAATTCTACAGGAAACCCGTCTGGACCTGGTGCCTTTCCATTATTTTGTTTCTTAAGTGCTTGACTTAACTCCATCATTGTTATATTACTTTCTAGCATTTCTTCAATCTCTTTAGGTATCTTAGGTAGATTTGCATTCTGTAGGTATTGTTTAACTTTCTCCTCATCAATGTCTTCTTTCTTATACAAATGCTTATAAAAATCATAAATAATCTCTTTTTTTTCTTTGCTGCCATAACAAATTTTACCTTGATCGTCTATTAACTGCGGTATTTTCCTCGACTCTTTCTCCTTTCTCAATTTGTATGCTAGCCATCTACCTGGCTTATTTGCATCCTCAAAATAATTCTGTTTAGCATTCCTAATTTTCTGTGCCAGTTCTTCTTTCTCTATTAAATCCATTTTATGTTTAGTTATATCCAATTTCATTTTAACATCTTTTCTGTGTGGCATTTTCTGTAATTCTTTTTCAAGTCCCTTATATTCATCATCCAAGGCTTTAAGAGTTCGCCTTTTCCTGTTGTTCTTTTTTCTTGTATAGTCTATTATCAAGCCTCTAACATAGGCCTTCATTGTGTCCCAAACATTCTGTATTGAGGTGTCTTCTTTTCTGTTCTCTTTAAAGAAGAAGGCCAATTCTTTCTCCATCCATTGTATAAATTCCTTATCCTTTAAAATAGAATTATTTAATGTCCATCTCGATCTTTTCCTTTGTCCCTTCCATTCCCTTTCTTAACATTAATTAACAACTGTGAATTAATATAATTAATATGGAAAAAACTGTCAAACTCTAAGTGAACTTATGGTATTTAGTGTACTGTC